CAGTAGTTTCGTGGGGCCAGCAATTGTTAATCCGCTGATTTTTTTAAACGAAAAGATAATTTCAATATTACAACAGATCTTCAATATAGGTACTATAATTCTATATCTTACATAATATAGGTGTTTGCTATTTTATTGTATACAATTCGTTACAAAAAATCGAGCCACTGATACCTGTATCTATAATGCAGTTTAATCTTTCGCTTTTTGTATATAGCAGAGGGTAGAAAAGTACTACTATATCGATCGACTAGGAAATGACACGCCGAAATGTTTACATTTTTGGACTCGGGGTGCTCTAACTCCTTAATAACCATCTGTTATTAATTATGATGTAATTAAGCATAAAAAATACATAAAGAATACTTAAAACAGAAAAAAACGAAAGAAATGCGTTAATTTTGAAGAAAAAGCTCCAAATTTTATTATCCTTTGTCTCGCCTTTCTGTGAAACTTAAAACCGATGAGTCAATGTTTACACAGCTGGATGACCTTGAGAACAGCTGGATTCCTATTTCCCGGGGCATTCTCATATACGTCTCGGGAGGACAAGGGTTTAAAGTAGGGTGAATATGACTGACACGTATATTTTTAAATATTTTTAGAAAATTAAAATTTTATTGCTGTTTCCGGCCCCCCCGACTTAACTAAACGTATATATAATAAAATCTATTAATTAAAAAAATTAAAAAACTATTGGAGGTCGTTTTTGACATCAGAAACTAGCTTTTAATAACTTTACCGAAGTAAAATCCGTGCACTAGTAAATTAGAACAATGAATGAAATTTGATAAAAAAATCCCGTAAGAAACAATTAAGCCGTTATGAAAGGTAGATTAAAATCGCGATAAAATTTTTTCGCGCGAGAAAAAATTTTTGAAAAAATTTAGACACTTAAAAAACATCCAAAAAAAATTTTTTTTCAAAAAGAGCTAAAAACCTGATTTTTTCTAACGCTATGGAAACTGTTCGAGACACCTTCGAGAGTGGTGCAGAAAGGCTTAAATTAAGGGCTACCTTGCTAGAAATAGCAATAGGAAGTTGGGCTCAGGAGTTCATTCGCAGTTTATAACTGCCCAGTTAGTGATTGATTGATCTAGTGATTGATTGATCAGTGTCAACTTGTTCAGTTCCTGATTTTATTGACACTCGGTTGGATTCACTTATCACCAAGAATGATCTCGTTGTTGCGTTTGCTGCACATGCAGAGAGAACTGAGGCAGATTTCCATGAGGTCACAGAAGCTGTTCGTGGATTGCAGCAGGTTGTTCCAGTGTCAGGGTCGGCGGTTAATGACCTCACTGATGCATTTGCTGCATATGCAAAGAGAATGGACGTGGTTATGTCTGAGGTGCTGGAGACCGTTCGTGGAGTGCAGCAAGTTGTGCCAACTTCAGGGCTGATGGTGTCCAGGACACCCGGGCTTTATAGTGACGCTGTTAAGCATCCTGCTTCACCTTTGGATTCGGTTTATGTGCCCTCCAAGTCTTGTCACACTGCACTGGTGTGCAGTAACCCTGAGACTAACGACTCTGAGCTTACGAGAAAAGTTCTAACTTGTGGAATCCATTTACATAGCTTAAAATTAGGTGTTCAGAGAATATGCCATATTCAAAAAAGGAGGGATTGCTGTTGATTTGAAGTGTAGAGCAGATATCAGAATTTTATGTAATACTGTTTCTGAGGTATCCGGTGTATGTTTGGTTATCCCGAAAAAAAGACACCCACTGATCAAGATTATCTTGGTGCCTAAATGTATTGAGAGGGACCAGCTCTTAGATGCCATTTACGAGCAGAACAGCCGAGTTGCCGTTTTATATTCCAAAAAAGCATTTCTGGAGAAGATTAGGGTGCGTTTCCCAATTGGACAGCATAGTACCACTCTCGTTTTTTGGGTTGAAGAGGTCTCACCAGAACTAAGGTGTTTCCTCCTTAAAGTGGAGAAGATAAACTTGCAATGGACTATGTGTAGTGTCTTAGACTTCCTCCCATCGGATCGATGTTTCAAATGCATGAAATTTTGGCATTTTGCCAAAAACTGTCATGCAGAAAATCGTACAAGCAGTCAGTTTGGAGGCAATCATGTCTTCAAAGATTGCGATAATAAACCAGAAACTCCAAAATGTATGAACTGCATTAAACATAATAATATGGTAATAGATCATAATGCGCTCGATAAAGTTTGTCGTGCCTTTATTCGATCAAGAACACAGCTCCTTGCCAGAATAGACTATGGCATCTAATAGAAATAATAACATTTGCCATAAGAACTCTGAACTACGTATTGTACAGGTTAATCTGGAACGAGCGATCTCTGCCAGCTCTCAGCTCAGACAGGAGATTAACAACTATGACATCGTTTTAGTGCAGGAGCCCTATTGTCGTAAGAATAGGGTATCTTGTTTTAGCAACAAAGACATTAACATTCAGAGCCAACATGAACGACCGTGGGTCGCAGTCATTGTTACTAACTAACCCTACCTTGGCCACTATCTCTTACCCAAAGTTTTTTCCTGTACCTGCATTTATATCGAGATCTACCTTCCGGATTTACACATTATCATCTTTAACGTCTATTGCTCGAGTAGATCAGATATCTATGAAACCATCCATAACTTGGAGTTGGCTGTGACTCATTTCACTAACCGTAGCTTTTTAATTTCGGATGATTTTAATGCGCACTCGCCTACTTGGGGGGCGAGTATAGAGACGGCAGAGGTGAGGCCATGGAGAACTTTATTGCTGCACATGGCCTTCTGTTGGTTAATGATCCAGACTCTCCACCAACCTTTTTGTCATCTAATGGTCATTCCTGGATTGATCTGACCATCTGTTCCGAAGGCCTCTGTTCTGTTATTCAGGATTGGCAGGTAGGCATTTTTGACTGCCTTTCTGACCACAAGTGTATAACGTATAGATTATGCTGCAATAATTTGCTGGATGCAGACGCTTCGAACAACAACAATGCTTTTTTGTCGTTTCTGAAAACTATATATTTCATACATGCAGCACAAGGTAATCTTCATTGTAAACTTATCCAATTTTCAGTTGACCAATAACAGTAGGAACAACAATGTGTGAGAATCTGGATGTCATATAAGGATTTTGAAGCATAAAAAGTCGAATAGACTTTTCCCCTTTCCGTTATTTCCGATTATTTCTCCCATTTTCACCCCGTTGCCCGAGGAATAGTCCCCGGACAAAGTTAGAAACAACGCAATTAACTGACCTTGAAGGACGAAGTCGTCTAGGTCAACCGCGGAAGCTCCCCGGAGAACCGCAGGGTGCGGATATAGTATAGAAGATTTCCTAAAAAGGTCATCTGTACGATGAGAAACATTACCTAAAATGGTAAGTCATCTCCCTAGGTGATGACGAATTTAACATTAATTGGTCAAGCGATGTCTGCATTGTCGTCACCCACGACGGGGGAGACTGTCATAAATCTGGAGAACTGTCAAAAGAGTAGCAGATTTTCCCACGCTAAAGAGTATATAAAGGGGTCGGATTTTCTACTCGGCGCTGAGCCAGGGTGCTTAAGCCGAAGAAACCCCTCTGCAAACCTCAAGAGCGATCGTCGGGGAAGAAACATCGACGCAAGATCTGCCAGCACTCTCAGGATCTACGAAGCTCATAATCGCCGCTCCATGCAAAGGTAAAAACTTTGAATATTTTTCTATTCTCTCCATATACGACGGAATTACTCCTCGAAGAGGTTAACAGAAGAAACCTCCGAGCGAACTTCACCAGGAAGAACTTTCTACAGATTAGGAGCGACGGAGCATACACCGTAGAAGGACATCGCTCCACATAACCTTCAAAGGAACCTCAGAAAACAAGGCGACGGACACAGAGTGTTTTATTAACGCCCTATAATTGGAGAACGTTGCCTACGAGGTAAACCCTTGCGATTATAATTTATCTCTCTCTAACGTGAGCTCTCTCTCGGATTTTAGCGTTAGGTTAGAATAGTTTTTTTTGAATACCTATTTATATCTTGGTTCACATATGTTGTATTTAACATCTTTGTGTAAATTTTCTTAGTTATTTATTAAATGTGTTCGTTAATTTTAAACCCGTGTAATCCTTTGGACACTTGGTCACGACTTCCAACTCCTCCCCACTCATATTTTTAGCCCTCCTATTGCCATCCGACAACCGAGAGCGGATCTTCCCGACTCGTGCAGATTAAGTGGTCATTAGGGTTCGACCCGGTGACCCCCTGCTACTCACAAATGCTTTCAATACCAAGGCAGGTGATTGGTGCAAATTTTACGACACTATTCAGCAAATCAGCATGCCTTCCTCTAGGATTGTATCACTTACTGAGGCTAAGGCCTATATTCAGTCAGCTATTGTTTAAATTTCTTCCGCATGCGTGGAATTCATTCTCAGGAGGAAAAACATAAAATGGGTAACACCATGGGAAATTCGAATTTATCTCTTATGCGCCAGAACAACAATAGACTACGAAGGGTATTTCAGAGATGCCATGATGAAAGGAGAGAGGAACTGCGCATGCAGTACCTCTCTTACCAAAGAGGGTATAAGAAGACCATTAAGAAGGCGAAACTGTATTTTTAAAAGTCCTTTTGCACAAGTGCGGGGAAGAGACCTATTGGGGTTTATATATAAGCTCTGTGTAAACAATCTCAAAACTCGTAGTTTTTTTAGTAGCAGTATTGACAATCTAGCCAGTCTTGAGGTCACAGTTTCTGGTCTTTTTGATTATTTCTGCCCTTCTGACTGAGGGGAGTAGCCGGAGGTTTGGATGGGTTTGAATGCGTGCACTTCAGCTCCTGTTTTGGATCGTAGCATCGGCGCAGTCGTTGATTTATCCAACAATTGTGATACATTGTTGGACTCCGTAATTCGCAAGCTTTCGTTTTGTATATCGTTCGTCAATTTTTGTCCAGCCGTTCCGGAGTTACAGCTCCCGGAAATTTCTGGACTTGGATCAACTTTTTCCGGCCCGCTTTTGCCGGTAAGNGTCCAAACTGTCAATCATGTATGTATTTGTCTTATTCTTAATAGATGCGGTGCAGGCGCCCATGTGTCTCCCACTTACCCTACTCTATCCTATCTTACTTTCTTTCACCTTCGCCTTAACTCGTCAAACTTTTCCTTCCTTCCTTTTCCGGTTCTGGGGCTTTGAGTGCGCCCCATCACCACCCCCTCACAATGTCAATGTCAATGTGAGATAATTACTGAGTATTCAGCATGCACAAATAAAAAAGGTGTTAATTAATAATAATAATTGATACTATTTCAGGAATTCAAGTGCTATGAATGAATCTCAAAAAAATTTAATTACTCAAGTATGCGAAATGATATACGGTAAGCTATATTCTAAAAATTTATGTTTTAATCTATTTAAATTCATTTTATTCAAATTATAATTGTAATAAATGAAACATTTACTTCTGAATTAACTGATAATATATAAAAATTTTAAATTTAAGTTTGTTAATATTAATATTAATTTTCAAAGCTATTTTTTATATTAAATTTCTGTTTTGCTTCAATTTTATGAGAATATTACTTTCAAAATTAATTCATTAGATATTAAAAAGACAACTTTTGAAGACGAAGAAAGAAATAAGTTATTAGTATTTAATCTACAGAACTATATTCAACGTTTTTTACCAGGTAATTAATTGAATTACTAATACCAATGTTTATAGATTTTTCTTTTTACTTTTCCCGCTCTGTTTTATATAACAGAGAAAAATTATGGCGATCGGTCAAAAAGTGACCTCCAAAGATTTTAACATTTTTGGACTCAGGACACCTTGAAACATGAAGAAATGCGAGAAATTTCGGGTGTTTTTTCTGTATGTATGAATGTTAGTGAGTGTGAGGCACGATTTTGTTCACCCTGTTTCAAGCTTAATAACTCCCTTGCTTTTTGTTAAAAATTTGTGAAATTTTGTAGGGAAATTGTATAATAGGGAATTTATGCTATTAAATTTTGGTGGTTAAAGGTCGAAGGGTGGGGAGATAAGGAGATCGTGTGTATCTCCAATAGGGCGAGACTTAATGACGATTTTACTGGATTTTACCATTTACAATTTTTTTTATAAAACCCATCCCCATCCATACTCTCAAAATTAAGCATTTTGCCATTTTGTAATAATTAAAAATATAAAACAAGTTTCAATAATGAAACATAATAGATGCACTATACACGCAGTTTTAATTGTTGCCGGGAAAGTTAAACAATTTGCCATGGTATAGACATGGCTATTTCCTTATAAAAAATATTATATGTAAAATCTCGTTAAATGAGTTTTTATTATCAAATAAATGTTGGAAGAGTAGTCTTTTTTTATTGTTGCTTGTTTATAATTGTTTACAGAAAGACGTATGAAAATAATTTCCATACTTTGTTATACAGAGTGTGTGGAAAGTAACTAGTCATTAAGAAATCAATATAATTTTTGTAATAATAATGCAATCGCGTAATAATATTTATATGTTCTTGTATACCAATCGATGCAATTTTACAAGTCTTAATTGTTGTTACGGGAAACTATTCAGAAAGGCTACATGCACATTGAAAACAAAGATGGCCGGTCGCTTCTCTGTTCAGGGGCGAGCGCAGATTTTTGCACGCTATGTACTGTGGATATAAGTGATTGCTGTGCAGAAATGATAATGTACAGTGAAGAGACATCATGCCAAAATCTATCCGGAAACAATCAAGAATTGTCATTTGAAGTTAAAAAAACCACAGGTTCGGTTGCAGATGCTCAGAGATGTGTCTGTCCATCCACATCATAATCTGAGGAAATTGTGTTGTTAATGAATGAAACCAATGCCTATACTGAATTTTCCGGTATGTATCCGTATTCCCATTTAATGGGATATATGTCAAATAATTTTCGTAACCTTATCTGCATAAATGTAGAAACTATGGCGATTTCTCAATGTCTAGTTAATTTCCTTCTACCTTGTATATTGAAATATCAGGTATATCTGGATGATATGTATATTTTATGATTATATACATGTTATCAGGTATATATCTTATGACGGGTCTCCATACCTACGTTTGAGACTTCAGTAACGTAGTAGGCCTATAGGTAAACAAAAATACGAATAGTGACATAGTTGATCATGTGATCGTTTGAAAAATGTGATAACATGGGACATTTAAAACCACTGAATACTGTTTGTCTGTGGTGGGAGTTTGATCGACCGGCTGATCACGTGGAGTTTTCCGGACTTTTTTCACGTTATTAACACCTAAATTGAACAATAAAAGATCTCCCTCTCAGCAAATCGGCCATTTGTCGCTTTTATAAGAATAAAACCAAACCAATGCAAACTTTTATATTATCTACAGCAGTGTTTTTCAACCTTCTTGAATACACGACCCCTTTACAAGTTAAAAAATTTTGGCGACCCCCAGGACCATATTAAAACTATATCAGTAATTTTAAAAACTACGTATTTAATTTTCTTTCTGTTGAGACCTAAATATCGAATCGAAAAACCAATTGTACTGTAAAATAAACAGGCCCAGCCTTCTCAACGAAATTGTAGGTTTTTTTATTGTAGTGTAGTACCTACAAACACTTGTTTTTTTTACCCGCGACCCCCCGTGTACGGCTTTGCGACCCCTCTGGGGGTCGCGACACACAGGTTGAAANAGAATAAGGGAGCAAATAATAAAGCAAACCAATTATGGGGACTAATCCTTACCAAAGCAATCTCAAGCTGATGCAAATAAACCTTCAAAGGTCAAAGGCAGCCACCACCGAAGCCATGCAAATGGCAAACACCTATCACACGGACATTTTGGTCGTCCAAGAGCCTTACTGTTACAACAGAAGGATTGCTCTCTTCGGCAGTCTCAACACTTTTAACCACTTCGACCCATCAGAGAACCCGCGGGCCGGCATCATCATTGTGAACAAGAACATCAACGCCCACCAGTTGATCCAGCATACCTGCAGGAACTACACTACCATTATAATAAAGATTCACACTATCTCTCTGGCCATCATCTCCTTTTACTGTTCGCCATCATAAGATATAACTCAACTGCTTGAGGACCTCCAAGAAACGATCCAACACCTAAAAGGAATCCCGATACTGATTGCCAGAGACTTCAATGCGAAATCTCGGATCTGGCACAGTCCAGTGGAAGATCCGAGGGGATACAAGGTAGTGGAGCTTATGAACAGTTTCGATCTCCAATCCATGAATACCAGCAGGCTGGCGACCTACTCTTCCTCCACGGGGGAAAGTTGGGTCGACATCTGTCTGGCTAACCGCCCTCTAATTGCACAAGGGATCCAATGCAGTACCCTCGGAACGCATTCGGCCAGCGACCACCGCTATATCGAGACGGTGATCACAGCTATTGGGGTGATCAAGCACTACTGCATCCGGCAAAAAACTCATTGGGATCATTTTCAAGACTATATACGGAGGAACTGGATATCAGATCCACTAGTGAATATGGATACAATTGAACTGGAAGGGACCATAGACAAGCTCCAGAAGCTGATACTACAGGCCTACAATAACACCACCAAAACCTATACATCTAGGCAATCCGCCCCATGGTGGAATAGGGACCTGGCAAAGCAACGACGCAATCTTAGAAAATCAAGGAAGCGCTTTCGGCGGGAGCGCAATCAGGACAGGCGGGAGGAACTCCGCCAGGACTACCTCACGCTCTTCCGGGACTACAAATCCTCGATCTGCAAGGCACGCACGGATTCCTGGAAGTCATTTTGCTCGGACTTGGGCAGAAACAAACCTTGGTCGACGCCATACTACGTTGCTAGGGGTAAAATTAAAAACTCCAAGATTCCAAATAATTTCAACACCGACATTAACAACCCCACAACATCAATTGAAGACACATACAACCAGATTTTAAACGAACTCTTTCCGGATGACGACCCGTTCACGGACAATGCAACCCAGAAGAACATAAGAAGGGACAGCACAATTGCTCCAAACACCGAAGACGACAGTCAGTTCACTAACCAAGAAATAGCTACCGAGTTTCACAAACTCAAACCCCGTAAGGCGCCAGGGATGGACTTTATTACCCCCAAAATGGCAAAGATGGCCTTCGAAGCCATCCCAACCACGTTTAGCATGATCTTCAATAAGTGTCTCCAAATGGCCTACTTTCCAAATATATGGAAAACGGCCTCTATCAAGTTAATCCCAAAGAACAGCAATCCTTCAGGCTCAACGGACTATAGGCCGATTTCCCTCCTCCCTGTCATTGGTAAAATCCTGGATGGGCTCATGGCTAACAGGCTTACTTACCACTGCGAAAACTCCAACTATCTAAGCGAGAAGCAATATGGCTTCAGGAGAGGAAGAAGTACGATCACAGCACTGGACGACATAGTTAACACCATCACTGAGGCCAAAAAAAGAGGCGAGCACACCATGGTGGTTTCGATTGACTTCAAAGGGGCTTTCGACCACGCATGGTGGCCTGCTATCCTCTCGAGCATTAAGGAATTTGGATGCCCGAGGAATATCTATAACCTTGTAAAGAATTACCTACATAACAGAAAGATAATAGTCATAAACAATAAACAAACCCATCTTTACAGGAGTATCAACAGAGGATGCCCCCAGGGCTCAAGAACAGGTCCGTTCCTCTGGAACGTTATGTATAACAGCCTACTGACCTCAAGTTCAGCCTTTCCAGGGGACAGCGACTGCAGTATCCAAGGATATGCAGACGACACGGTCCTAGCTATTTCACACAAGAATCAAGAGGTCCTTCAAGCTAGGGCCAACAACATCCTACAGGCAATTTCCAAATGGAGCCACAACATGAAACTGGAAATTAACTACGGCAAATGCAGCTGTGTCGTCTTCCCTAAGAATACCCCATTACGAAAAGGCCCTATTGTAAAAATGGACGGTCAACGTATTAAAAACAGCGACAGGTTTAAGTATCTGGGGGTAATCCTCGACAACAGACTTACATGGAAGCACCACGTGCACTACACTTATGAGAAAGCCATCAAGGTAATGCACTCTCTTGCCTCCATCGCCCGGAACCACTGGGGATACAGCAATTCCGTCTGCCGCCTCCTGTACATTTCTGTCATAGAACCAATCCTGCTTTATGGGGCAGAGGTATGGGGCCCTTCCATCACAAAGGTGCATATCAAAAGAAAACTTTCTTCGGCGCAGAGGCTCGCCCTGATTTTGTGCACGAAAGCCTACAAGACCGCTCCTACGGATGCGCTCTTGGCAATAGCCAACCTCATCCCCATTGACCTCGTCATAAAAGAAAAAGTCTGGGCTTATCAGCAACTAAAACTTGCCAAGGGGACTACCACAAACCTAAAATTTAACACTGTTATGAAGAACCTTGAAGACAGCACCA